CGCTCTGTGCGGACAATCCCGACTCCGGTCTTTTCAGCTGAGACTTTATTGATGGAGCCCACGATTTTTCAGAATCCTCTCTCGAGTTCTGCTCAGATGAAGGACTGGTAAACAGCTGAGGCTTTATGGTATCTCCCTCAAAGCTTTGAGGCCTCGGGGACAAGACTCTCATGGGCTGAGCCACCACAGACGGCATCCTGCTGTGATAGGAACCTGGTTTCGTTGACCCTTTGGAGGAACGGACTGCCAGGTAGCGAACGGAGGGGCTTTTGTCAGTGTCGTGAGCTTCGAGCAGGCATGATGTTTTCAAGAACAAACCACCTCCCAAAACAAGCAATATGGATGCCAACCAGCCAATGTAGAGACAGGCTCCAAGCTCCCTACGCTGAGCATCAATGGAGGCGCCGTAGAACACTTTCACCACCATCCCAGCTGTCCACGAAGTGGGAATCAAACAGAGCAGCCCTGTGATTATCAGCACTGCCCCTGCTAATATAGCCACTTTGCCCTTTGCTCCATTTCCTTCTTCATCTAAGAACCGAGTGCACTTTCCACCGATAAAGGCCAGGATGAGGCCCAGGCCTCCTGTAGCGATGGAGAGGACCATGAGCGCTCTGGCAGCCTGCAGGTCAGAGGTGAGTGCAAGCATGGACTCGTACGATTTACACTGCACCTGTCCCGTACTTTGAACTACGCAGGTCATCCAGATACCCTCCCAGATTATCTGTGAGGTCATGATAGTGCTGCCTACGAAGGCGGTCACCTTCCACATGGGTAGTAGGCAGCAGAAGATGACCCCTCCCCAACCCAGGAGGCACAGGATGCTGGCTAACAACTGAATTCCCATGGAAGCCATGACGGAAGATTTTTGAAGCTGCTGAGGAAGACTTTTAGTTCTGCTCCGGTCCTTTGCTGATGTCTCTGAAGCCTCTTTGCCCTTCTGTGCAGTTCAGGCTGATCAGTCTTTTCTTGAATCTTTCTGGGAGTGTCTCTTTGTCAGTCCTTCCCAGTAAAAAGCTCCATTTCTGCAGGTACCATTTTCTCAATATGGTTGCGATGTTGATTGTTTCATTTGCGGGAATGCAGAGCTCTTGTAGTTTCAGTTCTTCGTCCTTCCAGTTACCCAAGCAGCAGGTGTGTTTAGGTTCAGCTGGGTGGCATTTGTTTACAGCTAGTTTACATCTTTCTTTGTCCCTCCCCTTTTTGTGTACCTGACTGCTACCTTCACCTCCCCCCTCTCAGTCTGTCTCGTCTTTCTTTGTTTCTACCTGAGAGAGTTCTTTTTCTTTTGTCTCCAGTGCGGCTGCCTATGAGCTACTGGACAGGTGTTGAAACACCAAACCTTTTCTACTGGGGAAAGAAATGGGAGGAGGATGAGTAGAGAAGTGGCAGTGACATAATCTTTTCCCTCCCTGGTAATTTTCCCTTTGATATATGAAACACAAATAATACATTTTTAAAAAGTGGAAATATTTTTGACAAATCTATGGGTTTGACATGTATAAAGTAGATGTGAAATATGCTATTTTGTTTAAATTTTCATTTATTTTTTTTTAAATTCTGAAACTAATCATATTCCTGCTTGAATGTTGAACATGATTTAATCAAACAAAAAACGGCTTGAAGTGTGTTTACATTAGTATTGATTAAAAACATGCACAATTATAACTATAAAGTTTTGGTCAAACAACAAGAGGAAAATGTGTAATATCATCTTCCTGAGAGAAAACCTGTTCAGCTATTCTATGTGCAGAAAAACCAGTTTGAAACATGCAAACACCTTCTGCTCTCACATATTAACACAGAGGCAAGCACACACAACACAAAACTTTTTATTAGGACTTGACGTTACCCTTAATGTTGTTTCTTTAAAAAAAGTGTGTAATCACACACACACACCACCACCACACACACACACACACACACACACGCACGCACACACACACACACACACACACACACACACACACACACACACACAT